CCATGCACAACCTGCTCAGGTCTGAGTGTGAGGTCTCCTGGGAAGGCTTGGCGGCACTGGCAAAGCCCACAGCTCGGTGACTCAGTGCTTTATGGATTCCTCCTCATATTCAGAGATGAACATTGATCAACTGGGTCGCAAGGGCTGCTGATAAAAGGATTAGAGAGGACGACCTATTGAGGGATTAAAGGAACCTAATGTTTCCAGACTAAAAACAAGCCATTGGAGATTGGATAAATGACTATAAATACCTGAGAAGGCCAAGGAGAAATAAGTGGAGGCAAATCAAGGAGCACATGTGTGTGAGTGCCTGAGTATGTTAGGAAACAGGGAAAAATAGTAAGAAACTTACCAAAATGGAGAAAACTGAGGTTTAAATGCTGTGGTGGTGAGAATTAAGACAATAAGGATAAACTAAACCGCACCAGAATTTCCCAAGAGGCGCTACTCTGGGGTTTGTAGGGCTTATGAGTGAAGAGTTCTGGGTGATCCCAGAGGTCCGTGCCAAGGTTGCAATTGTAATTCAGTGCTGATCTTCCTCTGATGCTCCCCAAAAGAGCTCTCATCCCAGCCTTCCAGCAGCCAAAACCCAAGTCAGCAAAGAGACCGAGAGGAAAAGGAAGATGTAAAAGGAACCAGAGCAACGTGTGGCAGCAGGATTGTACCTATTGATAAAGCACACTCCTTTTTAGGAGAAGGGCACTGCAAAGCGTGATGGTCCCCCACAACCCCAGTAGAATGAGCCTTCACTTCTCCGTTCCAGCCCAGACCTGGGCGAAGTCACTTTAAAGCAAAAGGCTTGCTTACTATTTTGACCTGGTGGGTTTTATATCAGCCCAGCTCCACTACAAGATTGGTTTTGGGTTATATTTTTTAATTTCTTTCCAGTCCATCGAAGGTAACGTCATGGTTATTAGGAACTGCGACAGGTGCTCCAACGGTAGCAAAAACACCCTTTAGTGAGGATGGAGATGGCTAACCTGGGACCTATCCGCCAAGCAGTGCCAGAGATGAAGGAAAGGTTCTTTTTGGCTGGGGTCACGAGAGATAAACGCTGATTTTGCTGCTGACATTTTTCTTCCAAATATTTTCAGCTCCTCATACAGAGCAAGGTCCCAGAGCTCAAGCCTGCCCCTGGAGAGCACATCCATAATTCATGACTTCCGAGGCGTTGATGTCAGTATTTATTCCTTGCTTAATAACCTGAGCTCACCCTGAGGCACAGCAAGGACTCAAGGCACCATGCGCGTTACAGCCCTAGGTAAGATGCCTGGGCCATGCCATGATAGTGCAGACATTGACAGCCTCAGCAGATTCTCTATCAAGCTCACCAACCGCCAAATTACTGTTTCTCAGTACCACCGCGCTCCAGGAGCATCCTGCAGGCGTTGAGTGCAGCAGGTTATACGATGCCTTGGGATGTGCTTCAGCATGGCAGAGGCTTTTTGGGAGGCTGGCAGAGGGGTCTGGCTGCTCTGCGGCCTTTGTCACAAGCCTGATGGGTCCTCGCAGCCAGTGAGATCGTCCTTTTCTAGGGTCTTGGGTCTTGCAGATGACTAGACACAGTCCCATTGCAATATTTATCGCCTTTCTGCTCACCGTGCAAATCATTTTGTCTTCTAGGTTTTATGCTGGACAACCCCAGAGAATGTGGCTTAGCGTTAGCTCTGATGCTGGGGTGTGGGAATGGAGCTGGTTGTTTTCTTACTCGTTTCCGAGGTATCAGAGGAGGCAGATAGGAATAGGGGTCCCCGAATGCTTCCCAGGTCTGGAGGAAGTAGGGGGTGGCTGGAAGGGGCCTGTGGAGTCTAAACGGCTTCAGGAGGTCTGCCAGCACTCAGTGTTACTTCTTGCTTTTCCACCATGCCTTGGTAACCAGGACCTGTTATGTGCCTAAGGCTGGCCAGGGTCTCAGGACACGGGTTGTGGAGACCAGGCTTCAGTGCCTGGGCAAGTCATTTACTGCTCCGGATGGTGCAGCCCATAGAAAAGGCGTTTGCCCTGGGGTGCTCCCCAAAAGTAAACAGATCCTGGGTGCACCATGGCTGGCACCATCACACTGTGGAGCTGCTGTAGCCCGGGGGCACACCCTGTAACGACCCCATGATTGACAAGTCCAAACAAAGGAGAAGTGACACCACAGACCCACACCATAAACATCTCCCTGCTGTGGAGCCATTCCCTGCAGAATGACCTGTTAATGGGCATATTGTTACCAACCCAGCAGGGTGGCGGGCTGAGCGCTGGGTCATCTGTAGATATGCACACTGCCCTTGCCTAGGACCATACCGCTTTTGTATAACTGTGCTCTGGCATTGTTTATCTGGGTATAAAAGCCATATATGTTTGTTGTGGGCTTGGACCCACCACCCAGCGTCAGCTGGCCTGCAGACCCGAGGATCCACCCATCAGTGGGGATAACCCCTGATCGTGAGGAGAATCTGGGGAAAACTGTACCTGAGGGATGGCCCATAAAGGGCGAGAGCAGTGGTTGTACCGTGCATCCATGGTGTAACTGTAGAGCTCTGACATGTACGTATATATTTTCAGTTCTATTACTGTACTTTTAGCTTTGTTATAATCTCTTATCTCTAATAAATTCTCATGCTTGACAAATGACGATCTCTCAAGTCCAGTGCAACTAATACCAAAATCAGAAAGCATCCTGTATGACCCTTTGTTGGCATGTCACAAACACGGATTTTTCTTTTTATCCAGCAACGTTGGGAGCTGGACTAGACCATCTTCTGAAAGCCTCTTGCAAAAGCATCACTCTGCTTCTCTCCTCTTCCCTCACAAAAACTAACAAAATTACTGCTTGTTCAAACATTTGATTTTATTTTCTATTCAAACCTTAAATGGGCCTTATTGTTTTTCTCACAGTTCAGAGGTACCACCTGTACCCTCTCTTCATTAGTCCAGAGGAGTTCAAAGCCCTTCGTAATCAGGTACTTTTCTCTCCTGATTTAAGGAAATAGAGACACAAAAAGCAAATGGCATATCCAGAGGAGGACATCAATACCTATTACTTGGCGCTCAGCCGTAGCTGAACCTTGGTTCTCTCTTTGGTCAGCTCTTCCAAAGAGCCACCTCATACCTCAATACCTCCACAGCATAGGTCATTCCTTTCCACAAAGAGAGCCACAAGCGAAGAGCTGCTCAAAGAGCCAGCAACACGGCTCAGTGTGAAACGACTGCTGCAGGGTTTAGCCTGAAATTTATGGGAGTGGGACACTTCTCCTGTGTGCTGGAGTTTCCCCAAGGCTCAGGTGTGACACTGGCACAAAGCTGACAGAGCTCTCCAGCATGGCCAGGTGAGGACTATCCTCCAGTGAGGACACATCTGCACAATGGAGCCACCTCCTCCAACCACCATTTCTGAATCAGAGACGCCCCTGCAAGGTTTTTCCCTCTCCTCGGTCCCACCGTGTGCCTCCCTGGCCGTGCCAGGGCTTGCACGGCCCAGGAAGACCCAGGAGCCCAGGAGCTGCAATCTGTGCACTGCATTTCGGGAATCGCTAGCGGCTCGTCACCAGGAAACCGGACGAACGACGTGTCTCCAGGCAACAGAGCTGAAACAGTTAAGAGCTTTCTTTGCTTGCAGGGAGCTCAACATTTGAGGCAAAACACAAAGGGTGGCGATGGGGAGAGATGTAGCGAGGATCTAAGCCAGTTTTAGTCCAATTAAAGCAACTTCAGGAAACAAACCTTTGGGGTTTCACCGCAGCTGGCTTGTTTTTGGTAACTTGGGAGAAGGGAGTATAACCAGTGTAAATTAATATAGTCTGGTGTGTTCCTAGAGCCTTACAAAGAGGAGGGATTATTTTTTGACTGGCGCCTCCGATCTGTTTTTGCCAAGGGTTGTCTTCAGTGTTGTTCTGCGATTCTTGGCCAGGGTGAGCTGGGGGATTTGAAATGCCCCTCAGAGAAGCAAGCAATGCCTTTGTATGCATGCTGGCGCTTTCGTACCAGATCCGCTTATTGTTTAATTCAGCCTGTCGTGCTATTATTCTGTAGCCTGGTTACAAGCAGACACTTGCTTTCCTTAGGCTTCTCACGAGACAATTTCTTTGTTCACCTGAGTGCCTTGCCATTTCCCTGAGGATTTTTTCCCCAAATTCCTGACTTTTTTCCAACCAGCAAACTGCAGCCTCTTGAATGTGCCTGGGCAGAGCTGCAGCCATGCATCTGCTTGGAGGTGAGGTCCAAATGAAAAAAGGAGGTGGTACTTTCTGATGCACCCCGAGCTACACTGATAAGCGTGTGCAAGGATGCACGTATGTCGTCTGTCCCCTCCATCCATCCCCGGCCGAGGTGTGAGGTGCTTTGTGCACCCCTGGCTTCAGCCCTGCAACACCCCTGTGTTGTTCAGGCAGCTCCTCAGCTCAGGCTGAACTCCTGTGGTAGCTTTGCAAACGCAGCAGGCCCAACCTTGAGCCTTATCTACACACTGCACATTTTGAATAACAAAGCCGCTCTCAGCAAAGCCTTTTTCTTCCCTCCCCTGCGGGCATTGTTCCCAAAAACTCCTTCCTTGCCTTGCTGCACTGCTCTCTCCCCGTGGTTGCTTTAACACAAGGGTCTGTTGGGTTTTCCTCTTCCTAAGCTGCAACGCTGGAGGAGACTTTCACGGGGACTTTTAGCTCTATATGGTCTTCATATACAAGTGACCTGCTCGTGCTTGTCCTTTTCTGCTGAGCAGAGAGGGGTTTTTCAGGGAGGAGGAAATATAAATCACCTGTGGTCATGCCTGGCTCACACGTAGGAATGCCAAAGAGCCCCCATCCTCTCTAGGAGGGTCCAAGTGCTGAAAAATTTGAAGAGAGAAACGCCTATGGTAAAGGCAAATTGGGGTCCTAAAAGGAGCTTTCTTTCGAGATACGGGAGGTAAATGCATGAAACCCTCACCATCAAACCACGCTGTGAGAGTCACATTTGCATAAAATCACTTCCTAGCAGTGTCTCTTCCTCCCCAGGCGGGAAGTTCGCTGCGTGCAGTCACCACTGCCACTGTATGTTGCACAACCCCCTGTACTGTAACACTGGGTAAATACTGACGGATGACTTTGTACTTTGCATTTGCCACTTGTGCAGCTACCTTCTCCTTGCAAGACGTGCACGCCGAGCCCAAGATGAAGATCGAGTTCGCTCCGCTTTCTCTGCCACTGCAAAGGAGACTTCAGACCGCATCAGTGGTTCAGTGGGTCTTCAGCTTCCTAAGTCTAGGTGAGAGGCTTCTTCATTTGTCTTTTTTTTTTTTTTTTTTACTATTTATAGAAATATTTTCCCCCTTGAAGGCAAGGTACCACATATTAGTGTCACAAAAGCCAAAAGAGCTTGGACTGAGGAGGGAAACTGAGTCTCGGGGCGAGCAGTCCCTGATACCCTGGAGAAGGTTAGTGCAATGCAAGGCTGGGATCAGCACCAGCCCAGAGCGTTGCTGGAGGCCCCGGGGAGAAATCAGAGCAGCTTTTCCCCTCCAACCTCCTCTTCCCCAACCCTAAGCCAGGACTGAAGGAAAATGGCATTAAAAGCATCGTCTGGGATGCTGCAGTGAATCCCAGGCCACTTTAGGACAAGCAATTAGCATCAGCCATGCAGATCAGAGTTGTACTCACGTGTCTCTGCTCATCTCACTGTACGATAGTGCCTTTTTTAGGAAGAGCAGTGTGGGTGGCTCTGTCTCACTAAAGCAGCTCCTTCTGGTGCGGTGGGAAGACCATGGGAGACTCCGTTCTGCACAACTGGGAGCAGACACCCCTCCCTTTACACAGATCCCTGCTCCCCACCCGAAAAGGGTAGTTTTCTAGGAAAACCCAAGCAGGTCATGAAAGGAACACGTTAGCAAACTGGGACCCTCATAAACTTGCTCCTGCGTGGAGGGCATTGGGTGCCGGTGGAAGTGAGAGACAAGCAGTTTTGGATAGGAGGCACTAGGCAATTAGAAGATGGGAAACCTGGGGACAGGTTATCAGAGGGTGCAAATTGTCCTGGGTGATTTACAGCCAAGCTGGAAGGTGACGTCCTCGATGTTTCCGTTGTCCCTCCAGTTATGCCAGTTGGCTTCTTAATATGAGAGCACTTGATCTTTGGCGTCCATGGAAAGTTCTCATCTTACTGTGGTGGGACAGTTGTTAACTAGTGCTGGACACATCGAGGCAGCAGTTCTTTGGGCATGTTCAAATCCTAGCATACAAGCATCCCCAAAACAAAGTCTGCAGAAAAGCATAGGCTGTGCTTTCGAAGCCTCATTAAGTCTCTGAGAAGGCTCTTTGTGAACCCTGCTGCAGATCCAGGGCCAAATGGCTCCCTCTGCACTGGTGTCTGGTGGGCTGGAGTGCTGGGCCATACTGGTCCAGATGGTGTGGCTTTTTGCATGCTTCCTGGCACAGGTTTGGCTCATGCTGAGTAACCCTCTGCCAAAATGTTCCTGGGCACAGGCCAGGGACCATTGCTAATAGTGAGGATGGGTGAAGCTGCTCTTTACTGGCAGAGAAGAGAATTAGCAAAATGGACATGAGCTGAGCAATGTCATTAGCCCACAGGGTCAGCACATGGGTTGTGCCCGGATGCTTTGGAGACATATAACCAGTGTGGCCCCTTTCGGTTGCTCTAGGACCACCTGGAAGTCTTTCCTCTGCCGGTGGAGGGGGATATCTCAGTGTGACAGTGGCAGCATGGCTGGTTGAGCTGGCACAAAGCATGATCAAGGCATAGCAGAGTGGGGGCACCTGGTGGACTAACGTTGACCTGGACACAACCTGGACTCATGTTGTCAGCCCTGAGGCTCTTCTAACTCAGAAGAGATCCAAGCTGTGATGGATTAAGTACCCCCACGCACAGAGACTGCCTTGCAAGAGGAGCCATGGGTGTTGTTAGCAGCAGAGGGGAGGGGAGCTCTGGAAGAAGCCATGCAGCCTTGGATCCAGCCGTGCAGCCCTGGATCCTACCTGCCAGACCAGGGACACTCTGGGTGCCCTGTGGCTCTCTCCCAGCCCTGACGCCTGGGCTTCCCTCAGGAGTGCCTGGGAGCGATGAGGTATAGTTGAGATGTGGTCATGATGTCAACCAGGCCATCAGCAGCATGTTCCCAGTGTGGACGCAGCCTGGATTTAAGGAGTTTTAATGGCATTTTTCAGCAAAACAACTTCCGCTTGAGGTAGCAACCTCCATTTGAGGCAGGCACAGGTTCGTCCTTTCTTGGTGCCGGGTCAAGTTGGTGCTTGACTTTTCAGTGACCAAAATGGGGAGCAACTGTTGGAGTTGGCTGAAAGGTAGAAAATGAGCAGGAGAGAGGAATCGTCCAGAGTTACTCCGCGGTCACACTGTAATGTGGAGGTGCTCGAAACTTGGGTTCTGCCTCCTGCACAGAGCTCTCATAGGGAAATGCAGCTTGCTCCAAGCAAGGATGAACCCCCAAGCTGAGCCTCCCTGGGCAACCGGGCTCACAGAGGTTGCTGTCTTCCTCTGGGACATTTTTACTTTGATTTTGGCTTCTGTAACACATTTTGAAAGCAAAAGCAGTTAAAAAAATACCATAGGAAAGGCACGAGCAAGGCCACAACTAAATGTTGTGGAATCTTTTTATAAAGATTCTTTAAGCCTGGAGCTTTCCACCAGAAAGCTCTCAGTCTTAACAACTAAAAAAGCTCAGTGCTAAGGGATGCCCTCAATTTTATCCTATGAGCTGCTGGGGAGCTACCCTGTGCTGCAGCTGGTTATAACCCTCAGTCTCAAAAATCAGACCCTCCGTGAACGGAGTTTGCTCACTGGCTGCTCGTCTCTTTCTGAGAAAGACTCATATTTCTGCTGCCAGATAAGGGCTCCCGAAAACACACAGTCAATCAGCGCCAGACATTTGCAGGGCCCTTTGGCTGAAGAGCCCGACGGCAGCCGTTCGGCACTGCTGTTTCAGGCAGCTGTTGCTATGGTTGTGCAAATGCATCCCCGCAAGAGGAGAAAGGGGCAGCTGGGGCGCGCAGAGCGAGAGGCTCATTCATTCTCCGCGGGGCGCTGGATGAATGTGGCAGCTCGACCTTGCCTGTCTCTCTCAACGAACAGACGTTATCCATGCTGCCAGTTTTCTCGGGAATGCCCCTGGCAAAGGCACTGGTGAAAAGGGCTGAAACAAAAGGTGTTATTTGCTTCAGATGCTGACAACGAGCCCACAGCGCAAGGATGAGCATGCAGGCAGTGGGGCAGCAAACCTATCACCTTCCCCACCTGCTGTGGGATCCCAGTAGGGACCAGTGCCCCCTCCTAATGCAATGGGGCTGGGCTGCTGCAGGCAGCAAAATCAGCCTGCTGGTGACTGTGCTTGGTCCACCAGTTCCCCAACCTCTCTCACCCCCTGGCTCCATGGGCTGGGGCACAGGGATGGATCTGGATGCATCAGGGCAGAGCCCATGCTAACAAGCCCATAGGAGGAGCAGGAGACACGCATGCTGTCTTTGAAGACCCAGCTTATCCAGTGCATGAAATACCCACCCTTTGAACCCTTCCGATCGACAGGGCTGGCTCAAAGGGCACGTGTGCCAACATGAATCAGCCCCACCTTGGCAGTGGACCGTAGTCCACAGCCTGTAGCAGCATGCCCTTGCTGCTGGACTTGGCTATGCTGAGTTGTACAGGACCTGTGATGGCTCTCACTGTCCCCAGACTATAGGCTGGCATGGGCAACCTCAGCAATGTGCATCTTGCAAACCCTCCTGACAACTGCAACGTGAGTCCACTTTACTCTGGGGCTGCTGCAAAGGTAAAAACCTCTTTTCAAAGGCTATTTTCCCTTCTTCAGGTTGAATGAGCAAATTAACAGCAATGTTGGAGCCCAGCACCTCTTTGATGGGACATGTTCCCTGTTTTGGCTTGGCAGGAGGACTCTTCCATGTGCTTGCAGCTCACGGATCTCTTGGGAGAGAGTAGCACAAGTAGTATATGAAATACCAGTGGTATTGGTGCAGCAGGCTTAACCTTTCTGCAAAAAAAGGCACCAGTGGTTGCCCAGATGAGGGGTCTCCTCCATCTGTGCAGTTCTTCCTCTGCCTGGTTCATGCATCCCAAACCTGCTGTGCCTATCCACTAGACATCCTGCAGAGCATCCACCATGGCGTGGATTGTTTTCATTCAGGGAGGAAAATGCAGCCTGCAGAGAAACTACTCAGTGGAGGAACCTCCCATAAGAAGCTTCACCTTTTGCTCCCAGCTTCTTTGAGGGAGCCCAGCCCAGGAAATCACCTGGCCTGTGAGGGAATCCAAGAAAGCCATTGCATCCACATAGATGTGTCTTCTCTTTGCTGATTCCCATACAGCCACTGAGATGCGAGATGCCAGGTCCTGAAGACCAATGAGATGCTTCAGGACCACCCCTGGCTGATAGGCTGATTGGTCTCATAGACAACACTTGGATGTGGACCTCAGTGGCCCCCACAATCCAGGAACATCCTACATCTGCTTCATCCACAGTCACATTAGTCCTTACCTCAGAGAAAGCTCTGGGCATCTGGCCTGAACGGAAGGTGTAAGATTCAGGGTCTGTATAGAGCTTTCCTTCTTGTTAAGAGCCATTTCGTCTTACTTTTGATAGGGTCTCTTTCCACTTCGCACAGCAGTGTGGGTATTGCACCAGATAATCCCAGCCCAACCTAGGACTATCTGGCCATTTTCAGCTAACTGAACTGATGTGATTGCAAAGGCATGCCTGATGCCCTCTGACTCTCCCTTATGGCCCATAGCAATGCCCTCTGCCTTGAAAGGGCTCAGTGTAAGGCTTAAGCTTCTTCCATACCCTGTCAGTTCTGGGCTTCCCTCGGACATGGACAGAGATGATGTCCTGACACTAAATCATCTGGCTGAGCACTGGGTAATATTTGCATAGACTACTGATTTTAAGACAATTCAGCATGCATGGCTGGGCTCCCCCACAGGAGTCTGGACCTCCTCGGGGAGAACACGAGGATTGCATCTGTTTGCTCCAGCTGCACTGCCTGCCCCTGCACCCACAACGTTGTCCCTCCCTAGTATGCAACTTTGCTCTGCAAGATTTCAGCCTGGAACTGGAAACAAGGGGTTATAGGGACATAAAGGTGGAAGGCAGATGAGGTAGTGATGCTACCCCTGAATACTGAAGAACTTCTCCCCATCGGATCCCTTAAAGAGCAATGGAAAGGCAGCAAGACAAAGTCGTATTCTAACCACACTTCACTGCCATTTGTGCATCTGATGTGCAGTCCCCATCTATGCCATAGAACCTGTCAGGTCATAATTCAGCTGTTCTCACATTTCCTGGCGCTGCAGAAACCCGGCAGCTGATTGGGTTCAAAGACCGATTCCTAATGAACCATGGACTTGGCAAATTTCTCCCTTTCACGGCTCAGACTGTCCTCTATTTCAGCAGCATTTGCAAGACCCGATAACCCTTCGTGAATTGCTCTACGGGCACAGTGGTTGTACATAGCCTGCAGTTTGTCTCCAGAAGGGAGAGGTCTGCTGAGCTTCCCCAGCCAGGGGCCTAATGCCATGTTCGTTGTGTCCTTTAAAGTGCTTGCTTAGCAGGCAGCCCAGAAAATGACAGTTGTTTGTAGGAAAGAAGATGCAGAGGGAAATGTAGCTCTCCTCTGTGCAGCTCTGAATTGCTCCCTATTCCAAAGAGGGGCAGAAAAGAAACTCTCATCTTTCCTCATTGAGCTTACCCCACTGCCAAGCATGGGGCTAGATTCTGGTACCACCATGCTGCTGTATCACCACTACCTTTGCGAGCAGCTTGCCTTGATTTCAGCAGATGCCTTGGCAGAAGGTGACATGCTCTAGCCTCTAGGAGAAGGCTGCTTCATCCAAAGCAGTCCCGTCTTCCTGTTTGCTCTTCACCCTTTCTCCTCTGCAGCTTACAGGAGGAAGAGCCCAAACCACCTTCATCTTGGTCACTACTTCCATACTTCCTAGTCCTCTCTGAGTCTTCATGACACCTAGACGTGGCAGTTTCTTCTACTGACACTCCAGAAGCACCCTTCCAAGCATGCCTACACTTTTGCTCTTTGAGGTCCCATCATTCTCCCACTTCAGACTCTAGGACTTAAGAAGTCATCTGTGCAGCCTAAAAGAGGCCAAGGTGGCACCGGTGAAGGGAATCCTTCAGTTAGCAGGAGGAAGTTTCAGGTAGCAGGACGGATGCTGGAGCTCAGCATGAGGACCTGACTTAGCTCCTTGGAAGCAGCAATATAGCCCTGTGACAAACGTGCTCGGTGGTCTGGAAAGTCTCGGTATCTAATCTGTGGTATCGCGCTGCCTTTGTTATGCTTTCATCTAAGAGCTTGAGGACAAGACTCATAGAGGTCTGCAGGGAATCTGGCACTGGGACTGGCTTGAATGCAGATAGTAGGATTTAATTGTATGTTTTCTGAAACTCTCCCGTCTATTTGATCCAATCCACAGTGCCTTTCAGACTTAGGATCTGTCCTGTGACAGGAAAGGACTCCTGTCCCACAGCAGCCAGGGCACCATATGATTTTGAAAGCACAATGTTAAGATTGAGTTAAGGTCATCATGTGAAAGTTCTGCCCCGCATAAAGCTGAATTACAAATCAGTCGAAAGAAAAAATTAATAATTATATAATTGCAAGATAAAGCCTCACTTGGAGGATGAGTGCATGGATTTGGATCAGAACAACTCCTTCTTGCAGAGTGTACTTTGGGCTTTGCATGGTGTGATAAAAAAAGTACTAGATATTGCACAGTTTTGCAGCAGACTTGATGACCTGGCTCACAGGTGCAGTAAAAGTCCAACCTCCTTAGAGCTCCTGAAGCAGCATTTATTTGTTGTCTGGCCCCTGGAGGCTTTTTTAACACTGGATGCTATTTTCCTCGAGAGTTGCAAAGACTGTGTCTGTGGCACATCAGCGGGGCGGTGCCAGGTTGGACACAGTGGTTCGTTCTGACCTGGAGGCTTGCAGAGGACAGTGTTGGCAGGTTGGACCTGTTGCTATGCAGGGAGCTGCAGTGATTTTCGATGTGCTGTATCAGTGCTGCCTTGCCTTTCTGTTCAAATACTGCTTGCCCTAGCATATTTATCTGCACGAGGACATGAGATCCTATTTCAGCTTTAAGGAGGCTTAAGATCCTGCTAGATTATTGCTTTTTCCGTAGGAGTTCCTAGTGCCATCATACCAATGTTTTAAAAAGGGAGAAGGGATTTGTTTTCGTACAGAAAGCTCTGGGGTCACGGTGACCTAGCACAAACGGGCATGTCTAGCACACAGAAAAGACTCCGGACCATGCAATGCTTTCTTGTTAGATAAAAGCAAATAGGAGGTATAAGGAAGTCTCAGATGAGAGTACTATGTGCCTCTTCTCTAATGGGCCTTAGCTGAGATAAACGGGAGATGGCAGGTGCCAGGTGATGCTCACAAAGATGAAAAGCCAGGTCTCAGATAACAGTGTTGATGTGTCTATCTCACAACTGGAGCCGAGTCTGAACAAAAGCATCTCCACCCCCATGTCCCTGAGCCCTTGGTCCTGGATCTGTGATGAGGACCCTGAGAAGAGCAAAATACAGAGCCTGCCACACACGATATAACCACGAGCTGGGGAAGGCAAAGGGCGTGGATGAATATGTTTTTAGGTCAGTCTCACCTTTCCCGGACAACATCCTGATGACTAGAGTCAGCCATGGCTCCCAGAGGGACAGATGGATAGGGCACAGCTCTGACTGCTATTTCCAAGTTGTTTTTTAAGGGTCTGTTTTGCCATGTGCCAACTTGCTGGTCATCAGCGCTGCCCAGTTTCTGTGCAGACGGACGATGCTGGGCTTAGGTGGGATTCGATGTGCCAAATGGCCTGTGTTTTCATGCAGATTTTTCTTTTCTCCTCTTGTTCCTCCCGTCAAAGCACGGTGCATGAGGGAGAGGGGAGGGAGAGGACAAAGCTGAGCCTTGACTGGAAGCAACTCAGGAAAGTCTTTAACAACTTGGGAAAGTCCCAAGTCATTAATGACTTAGGGAATGAATAGAGCATGCTTATAAAATCTATGATGACACCAAGTTGAAAGATTGAAAATCCTCTAGAGGCCAGGACTACAGTTTAGAGTGAACCCAAGAAATGAAGGAAATGGTCCAAAATCGATAAGACAAAACTCAATAAAGAGTAAAAACTTATACATGGGAGGAGAAAAAATTAAAAATCAAAGGCACTAATTCAAAACCAGTGGTGGGCAGCTAGGGATAAAGTGATCAGGAGGCTCTGCAGATGGAGCACAGTTTACTGCTGCTGCAAAACGGCAGGTATCATTAAGGGGCATTAACAGGAGTATCGGGGTAAAACATGCACATAACCATTGCAGAGGTCAGAGCGACTCCAGAGAAAAACAAGACAAGAAAAGGCATGGACATCTGATCCATAAGGAATCTCCAGAGGCAGCAAGGTTCATTGGTCTTGAGGGAAGAGAGGGTTGCAGCAGGCTTGGGGAAAGTAGATGGTTGCTACAAGGAGGAAGGTGCTCAACTGCGCTCCAGGTTCCTGGGGCAGATAGGAAAGAAACCACCTCTTTGAAGCAAGGTGCCTTCACATTGGTCATACAATTAAGCAGTGAGCTCTGTGAAGGCTTGGGCTCCATCCAAGGGCAAAAAAGATCTTTCCTCTCCCAAAGCCTGTCTAATCCAGGCTGCCAACTGACTGACTCATTTTTCTCTCAGCACAGTGCTGCGTCGCTCTCTTCATCTGCCTCCTCTTCACGCGTTTTTGGCTGGTCAGTGCCCTCTATGCAGCATGGTGGCTGATAGACAGGGAAACACCCCACAAAGGTGGGAGGCGGAGTCACATCGTCCGGAACAGCGTCGTCTGGAGATACATGAGGGACTATTTCCCCATCACGGTAAGTGTCACCGATCCCTCTTGTGGGCCTCCAGGGACCCATTTTGCCCTTAGTGTTTTGGAAGCAGGTCTGGTACTATCATGGGGAGGAGGCCTGGACCTCTGAACAGAAAGCAGGAGGTAGGATTGTCCACCCAGCTCTCTACATTACCGCACGACCCAGCAAAAACGTAGTTCGGCACTTTCACAACCACATCCTTTAATCGGCTGCCTTTTATGCCCTCATTTAACCTCATCACATTCCAGGAATTAGGGAAGTCTCCCCTTGCCCATTTCCCATGCATATGTTGCAACGTGCCTGTTCTTCACATTGCCTGGCGTTTACCCAGCAGATACAGGGCTGAGCTTTGACCAAAATCTAAGCGTTCCTGGCTCCCTGCAAGGTCAGCATCTTCTTCTGTTGGGGAAGAGGCTGGATGGGTAAAGTTGACGGTGCACTGGGCAGTCTCATAGAGATGCTTGTCCCCGGTAAGGGTCCTGTGACATCGCCTGGAGTACTTTAATGTATGTGGCTGGCCTTTGCCATTATTCTGTTGGTATGGCATTAGTGCATGGGCCGGTATGAATTTCTGCCTCAGAGGAGTCACAAGTCAATACAAATCTGAGCAATATAGCAAAACCTAATGTTTCAGGCAAAATGGGGACTTTTGCCTGAACCATGCCACAACCATGTTACACAGGCAGCATGCCCCAGCAGGTGTTACTCCTTTCCATCGGAGTGGGAATGTCACCTGTTACCATGGCAAACTGTGTCAGTCCAGAAGAGCAACACCATGGATGTATTTAAATCTGCATGGAAAGGCACCACCTCCAAGATCTCCCAAAAGCAGCTGTTGCTCCAAGACTATTAGAGCTTTCCATGGGGAGAACTGGTTTTCCCTCCCCTCGTTTTAATTTTCATCTTGTCCTGAAACTCCTCTCTGGCTTGGCTATGGACCAGCCCATCCAGGGCTTGTTTAGCAAGGTTAAAAATGGTCCCAAACCAGCTGCAGTGTGACCAGTGCAGAGACTGGGACACACACAGTACTGCAGAGCCCTGGATGAGGATGGCCGACCGTGTCCTGTTGGTGGCATTGTACAAACAGGAATTGACTCTCAGCAGACCTGGGTGCAACTGGTAGAGAAGATAGATGTGCTCTGCTGGATCAAATTAGACCATTGCCTTACCTTTCCACTGCTGGAGATGATTCAAGTAAATCTATTTAATTTTGTGCTGGCAAATGCTCTCACAGCTTCCCACGTCTCAGCTGGGTGAACAACATCTCCCTCAGCCTCTACAAGGTCATCTTCCGAGCAAGACTGCCTGTACCCTGTGTGCTCTACCGCCCAATTGTGTTTCTTTGGCAGTAGAGGCAGGCTGAGGTCCTGCAGTGAATTATTTCATGGCTTATCTCATAGCTGGAGCCCTAATTCAGAGTTTTCACAGTGATTTAAAGGGCTTCTGGCTGAGCTCCCAAAAAGTATATCATGGCCTTCTGGAGAGGAATGGGAATCCATCTCAGCAAAGTTAATGGTGAGTTTTACCATAAGGGACAGGTACAATTTTGTGAAGTTTAATAAGAAACACCAAGTGAGTTCCCAAGAAAATATTCTCCAGTCTCAAGGCTGCCATAGAAAAAGCTAGCCTTGCAATGAGCTGTTTATATGCTCTATCTGTTTATATCTACAAATTATCAGTGGCCGTAAGTCTCGGCTTGGGCAGTGTTGGACCAATCTCTTTGCTAAGACACAACTACCACCCAAGCCGAGTGACACCTCTTTGCCTATCCCATTATAGGACCATGACCCTTCTCCTTGCTCCTCCTAAATGCCACAGTGGTATCTGGACGAGGTTAGGAGCAGGTTTTGGCAGCCCTGGCCACACTGGTTTGTCCATCTGTCCTTCTCTTGCAGGGTGCCGCTGCTGGGTAGGGATGCAAGGGATCAGTAAGACCAGTAGAGGGAGCATTGCTACTGATTTTGGCTGCAGCTCACCGGTACTGGGGGACAGGGAGGGTTTGGAGGAGCCTTTCTCACCGCTGGTCTGAGAGAAGTCAAATGGGACTCCACAAAAGGACTGTGGAGAGCAAAATAATAAAAAGGGTATAAGAAACATGTAGGATAAAAATTCTGAGCCAGAATGGGTGTCTTAGGATTTAACAGCCCATGACCAATGTATCTGCTACGCTTTATCATCACATGAGCCCAGGCAAAGTTTTAGCATCCACAGCCTCCTGCAGCAAGGAGTCCCTCAGATGAGCTACACCCTGCACGGAGAGCTCCCCTGCCTTGATTTAACCTACTACCTGCTAATTTAACTGAAACCTCCCTAGGCAGCCCAGCTAAATCCTGTCCCTCTTATCTGTGCCCTTCACAATTTGGTACCCTGCTATGTCCCCTATCAGTTATCTTTTTTTTTTTTCCCCCTCAAGTGGAAAATGCAGTTTTACTTGGTTCCTTGGGTGGAAGGCATTTCCTATTGTACTTTGGGGCACCAGCCGACTTGTTTCTAGCAGCTAGGAAGCTGAAATTTGTAAATGCTACTTTTGCCACGCTGTACGCTGCCCTCATCAGGAGCTGAGCTGGGTTTTTGTCTGACCACGTGGGGACTTGTCCAAAGCCCCAGCTAGAAAAGGGTTTTACTAAAAAAATAAATCTATTAGGAGGCATAAGTCTGGCAACGGAAGAAGCCAGTGGATGTTAACGGCAGTCCAGAAGCGTGGTAAGACCCAGCCAGGGCATCTCCCCGTTGTGCCGGGTGCTGTCCTGCTGCCCAGTGGAAGCAGCCTCTGCCCCAGGCGTTACCAAAAGGAGCTGGGACGAGCCTGCAGGGCTGGGACCGGGGGACGCAGGGGTGGGAAAACCGGCATGGCAGCTGCTGTGGGTACCCTCAGCTGCATTTGTACGCTCGTTAAGTTCATTTAGCCTGGGAGGATTAGTCATTCTGGGAAGATTAAATGTGGCTCCTAATCCTCCCGGATCTCTGCGGCAAACTTAGCGTGGTCAAACGCCAGTGCTTGGAGGTGAGGAGGCAGAAAGAGCTGCCTGCTCCACTCTGCACTCTGTTACTTTAGGAATTGGTTTTAAATGCTGCCTTTAAGGGCTCCCTGGACATGTTTGGTGCTGCGGAAGCAGCGAGAGGGTGGGATGAGCATCTGCTTTCCGGGGATCTGGGCAGGGTGAATTCACTGTGGGCCGTTTGCCGCAGCAAACGTCTGTCATGTGGGAGTGCACAGCCTCCGAGCATTGCCTTCACAGTGCGTGCAAGCAGCACCCTCTGCTGATACCACCCTTGCACAGTTACCATTTCATCACTTGGGTTTTTTTTTCCCCCCGCCTTGAACTTAAGCCTATTTTAATTAGGAATTCGGGTCAGATAGGTCCTGGGAATGTTGGGATGAGTCCAGGTGGCTTTAAAAGGGATAGAAGAAAGCAGAGAGAATTCAAGGGGATTCCATCAGGTTGCCCAGGAAAGATATTTTTTCTTCATAACGCTGTATTTTAATCTTACTCAAGTGTTATTTCTTTTGCACACCCTCCTGATAGGCCTGCAATATATGGGTGAGCTCAGCTAGGTATTAGAAGTGGGGAAAATATCCCAAAAGGTGCAGAATGAATTTGTTTGGGGCAGACCATTGCTGAACAGATATTCAGTGATGCTGGCTATGGGTGAATGGTGCCTCCAGAGAGATATTTGGATACTTTGGACTGCTCTCCTTATGCTGTGTTCGAAAAGCAGTTATCTGCCACTGCCAGGTCTCTGCTAAAACCCTTATCTTCATTCACACTGCTCCTTCCCCTCTGGAAGGCGTATCACTTATCATCATGGTATGTGAAACAATACACCCCACAACACTGTAAGAGACTTTTTCCAACTGTGAAGTCATCCATGACATGGCCAAGCGGTTACACATCTTCACAGCTTCTTATCCCCCATCCCTATCTCCTCCTGTCAGCTTAAGGCTGCTGTCACCGACCTTTGTCATACAACCCAGGTGCTTTAGGGACCTCAGCTGAGAAGCACCATACAAATGCAGAAGGTGAGGCCTGAGGTGAAACGGGGAAGTTATGTATTTGACAAGAGCCATCTCTACTTTTGCCCCAAATAGAAGTTAATGTCTCTCTCTCTGACTACCGAGGGAGGCTGGATGCTTGGTTTAGACTAGACATCTCACCTTCAGATCCCTCAGCCTCGGTTACTTCTTAAATCCAGCAGTGGGAAGCTAAAATTGAGGTCCTCCCAGGAGAAATCTTGTCTTTAGGGGCTGTGATCATCCAGAATAACCCCTAAAAGCTACAGCAGGCACGGTCTTACCAGTTTCATTAATGGCAACCCGAAAAGTGCCTGCTGTGTTGAAAAGGTCCCTGTGGTCTTCACTGCACTGTTTTCCCCTTGTGAAGAGCCACAGAACATTTCTCACCTTTCTTGTGGTTATCTAGGTGCTAGCTGGACCTTATTATCTACAGCAACTTGCAGAGTCCCAGTCTCTGTCATTATGCTTAGGGACGTGCAGGATTTTTTTTTGTTAGCGTAAATAAAATGTGTCATTGGAGAATTAGTTGAACCCTAGAAGTTCTGGTTGCGGATGGCTCAATCCTATATCTCATTCATTCTCAAAATTGCATAAACTGTGACTGGGGTATCTGAGTGGGTTGCGGTTCTGGGATGTTGTACAGCTGGGATGATTCAAGTGCACGTGAAGCAAGTTCTGCCAGGAGTATTTTGTTCGTTTTCATATACAAGTTGTGTTATTTGTAAATGGGGACTTTGTGCCATGGCCCATGACGTTAAATATGATTTTTGATTTCCAATAGTCTTGTCTATTCACTCTGCTCTTTTATTGGCTGGAGGAGAGAAGAGGGATTATTAGGGCAACAGCAGCACATAGCCAAATGGCGCAAAGCCACCTCTCTCCCCCTCTCCGAGGAGTTTCTCTGTCCCATGACCTTACTTCTCTGCCCTTGAGTAACTTTACCACCTGCTTTGAGTAACAGGTAGGCCATAGCTGAGGGCAGATCCAC